TGCTCGCTTGTCAATCTTATCCTGTAAAAAAATATTGCCTATTCATATTGGCCATTTTTCAAACTGTCTGGAAATTATGAAACCTTTTAATCACTTGGCCCTTCCTTTCCTCCTTGATTCACTTTGTTTAGAAAACAATTTACAAAAAAAAACCGTGTGCTACTCGTTATGTGCGTTATCAGAATCGGTATTGAATCGTATAGAAATAACTTTACTTCAGAAAACTCGAGGAAATTTTATTTTTATTTAATTAAAAAATGTATGGTCTGATTTTGATGAACCAACCAAAGGCTTTGTGTTACATGTCGTTTATCTTTTCTATTTACCTTCTTTATGTATACAATACAATACAATATTTTAGGCCTTGAAAAGGACAAAGGAAAGAGGACTTGAAAATTAAAACATTGGCCCATACCAATATATACCTTAACCTATAAATATATACCTATAAATATATATAAATATAACAACACTTTTTAGGGAACTATCTTCTTTGGCGCGTCCCTGTAGGGACAACAAAGTGATCCTATAAGGGTTCCGTTTTTTTCTTTTCGAGGTACGGAATCCTAAAAATCGTGTTTATATAAAATTATTATAAAATAAGCTAGTTAACTATCATCCCCCAAATCCCATGCATGCACTTTCACCTTCACGTAGTTTAAAAAAAATATCCTATTTCTTTCTCCACTATTATATATATGATAGTAGAAAATGTCTAAGTGTTTTTTCTCAAAGAAATATAAAAAATATTCCCCCCCCCCCCCACCCTCCGTCTCGCTCATAGTAAAGAGCTGTGCGTAAGTGCTCACTGTCCTGATACAATTAACCGTCCCAAAGCAATGTGCGTTACGACATCATCATCATTACAGCCCTTCACAAGTCCACTGCTGAACATAGGCCTCCCCCAAAGAATGTCTTTCGGGGAGGCGTTACGACAATGCCAACTTATTTTTTTTAATATTAAATTAAACGGACCAAATATTTATATAAGCTGACCAATTATCAGCGAATGCTTCTCGATAGCACATATTTTTTATTTTTTTCGCGAATGAGGTTCTAAAATTTCTCAATGACCTTGAAAAACTTTAACCCTTAATAAAAAAAATTCTAACGCTGACCAATTAATAAGATCGACTGACCTTTTATGACCAATTTCTGACCTTTCAGATGGTATAATTGGTCAATCGAAATTCCGCACATGAGGTGCTAACATCGCGGAGCTTACTGGAAGGCCAGAAATCGGGAGCGAGGAATGTAAAAAGATTAATGTAGAATTTATCTATCGACTAAAGAAAGGGGGAAGTACTCAATTCGACTGTATGTTTTTTATGTGTACTTCATTACTTGGTTCTACGTTTGAAAACTGGTGCATCTTATGTGGTCCCATATAAAATTGATCAAGGTCTGACCAATAGTTTTTGAGATTTCCGTAATAATTTATATTGAAGTCGGTTGTACAAAATTTTAAATTTTATATTATGTACCTTGTAATTTATTGTAGTCTGAATTACACATTTAGAAATTTGAAGATGTGCACATCATTTCTCACCTGAGCCACAGGATAAATAATAGTTAACCTGAGTTTACTTTCCAACAAATATATTGCAACAGCCTGTGAAAGTCCACTGCTGAACATGGGCCTTCCCCATAGATTGCTTCGTAAGGGGGATACAACTCTTATTATGTGATAGAGCCATGCAGCAGCTATATTTCCGGTATAGTTGTAGCACGAATGGGTCGGCTCGACTGGGGACCACGCTCTCACAGAATACCGGCGTAAAATAGCAGTTTAACGCTGCTATGTTTCGTATGGTGAGTGTAGAGAACCGGAGACCCTTTTTACTGTAAACGAGACATTCCATCTTAATCCCCACGGGTGACAACGCACCTGCATTTAGCACCTCTATTCGTAATCTAGGCTAACTGTACTTTTAACAACTTACCATCAGATGGACAGTGTGCTCGATTGTTACTTATCCTATAAAAAAAAAACTATTGACGAATAACACCGGCAGGGCACAAGCTACGATCAGTTTATTCTATATTTCAATCTGTATCTCCTGCTAAATTGATTCCATGGACCGATGCTTGATCAGATTAGAGCATCCGCCGCACCGGCTTCCTGCTGTACCTAGGTAGGGTTACGATTACTGAAGGGACGATGCAAATCTTTTCTATTTTCTACCGACTTCAAAAAGGAGACGGTACTCAATTCGACTGTATGTTTTTTTTATGTGTGTTACCTCATAACTTTTTACCGGGTGAACCGATTTCGATGATTCTTTTTTTTATTTGAAAGCTGATACTTTTCGTGTGGTCCCATATAAGATCAAGGTCTGACTTATAGTTATTCAGTTATTCTTAATAATTTATATTGAAGTCGGTTGTACAAAATTTTTAATTTTTAATTATTAAATTTCAAAGCCACCTTCTGAAGCAATAATTATAACTTAACCAAAAGTAAAAACTTACTTCAAATTGCTAAATATTCAAAAATTAATGCATCATTATGCCTACAGTCATATTCATGCAAATCAAAAAACATATACCTAGATGTGATAATGTAAAATAAACCTAATTATGTTTGGTTATTAACTTGTCGATAAATTGGGAGAATGAGCGTTGTTCGTTGACTGTGTGTTTTGTTATTAAATTTAACCTCCTATAGAGAGGATATATGCCATAGTTGCCACGCTTGGCAAGCGGGTTGGCAACCACAGTTTGTTATATTTAGTCGTTCTTAGGAAGACGCTGTTGCCCATCTCTTAGTTTGTTTCCCTCTGTCACTTCACAATATCCCGTAAATGTCGAAAGAGGTGACAGAAGGAACCTGGAACAGAAGATGAGCGGCAGCATTCTTATCTATCTGATAATATCTTGTAAAACCTAGCAATTATCGCCCATGACACTATGAGACTCCATCCATGGGGGAAGTCAGCAGTGGACGTGTGATGAGGTGTATGATGATGATATAGTTTAGAAGGCCTGTTATAAGTTTTTACGTGGTAGACCTACGCTGCAGCTATGTTATAGTTGTAACATAAATTGGTCGGCTCGACCAGGAAAGGACCACGCTCTCACAGAATACCAGCGTAAAATGGCAGTTTGACACTGCTGTCTTTCGTATGGTGAGTGTAGAGAACCGGAGACCTATTTTACTGGAAAAGAGGCATTCCATCTTAGTCTTCACGGGTGACGACGCATCTGCATTTCGATTCTTCATTGAGGATAAATGTAGATGTCTATGGACCACAGCAACCACTAACCATCAGGTGGACTGTGTGCTTGTCTGTCACCATTATTCTATAATAGGAAGAATATAGCCTTTACCCATGAGTGGTGGCTTTTCTGTCTATAGGTCTACTGAGTGGGTACCACATCCTCTTACCTATTCTCTGTATACCTGCTTTATGGCCAAATACTCGAACGCAACTCAATTTTAAGATGTCGTTAAGAGAATTGTGAAGCTGTGAAATTCCATACAAAAAGCGATAAGCTGTGAAATTCCATACAAAAAGCGATAACGTTTTCTCTCCCGGTAAACATAGTCTAATTTTCATGATTTTTGGAAATGTTCCAGATATAATGAAAAACTAGATACGTATGTTTTTATTTCAAAAAAAAAAAAAGTATTGCGTACAATATCAGTCAGCATCTTAATATTACTATTTATTTGACTTTAAAAAAAAAACTCGCCCGAGCTTTTTTATATTTTTTTAAATTAAACTAAACTGAATTACTAAAAAATAAAAACAAGCAGACCTAGATTAAGGTGTAGTGTATATAACGACACCAAAATTGTCTCATTTTGTAAAGGTTTAGGAGGGTGAAAACGTTATCGGCCGAAATAATATTTCAGAAAGGAAATGTAGGCAATTACTTCCAAGACGTACAACTCACTCTGTCGCACGGTACAGGAGGCGGAGCGAGCAGTATGAAACAGATAGCATTTTTGAAAATACTTCGCGCCACGTATCGGCACTTCACAATCTTCTTAAGCCTCGTCGTGTCACAGTCACTTTGACTTGAAGTGATAGAGACAGCACGATACTTAACGGTATCTTATAATTGAGCAGCGCTTGTGTATTTGGGAATTAGAGTGCCAATATAATTACAGGATGTGAAACATTTCATCAGTCCTCAGAGGTGACAATGCAGCTGTAGCCTTCATTTTTAGACGTTGGCTCCAGCTCCAGCTTTTTGTTATAGGAGAGGGGGCAAACGAGCATGCAGCTCGACTGATGGTAAGTGACTATCGCCGCCCATGAAACACCAGGGGAATTGCAGATGTGTTGCCGGCCTTTTAAAAAGGAGTAGGCTCTTTTCTTGAAGATCCCTAAGTCGTATCGGTCCGGAAAAATCGCTGGTGGTAATCGATTCCACAAGGAAGTTGTGCGAGGAAGAAAACATCTTCTATATCACACAATGGTGGACCGCCAATCATCCAGATGGTATGGATGGTAACGCGAGTTTTGTCGCAATGTGCGATGGTGAAATTGAGCGGTAGGAATGTGTAACGTCACATATTTTTCAATTTTATTTTTCAGAAGTAATTAAATTAAAACAGCAGTCCTTTCAAATTTTTTTACTTAATTTAAAAAAAAATCTTTCATAAAATCAAAATAAAGTCCAATGTTTTAAATAATGGACAAAACAACAGGCCAATTAAAGAACGATAAACGTCTAATAATGTTAATAAAATATATATAGAGTTAGTAATATTTTGAAAGTTAAATTTTAACATGTGACGTCATAGCTTTAACCCCCCCCCCCCCCGTCCATTGGCACGCATTGTCGCATTTTGTTGTCCCCCCCCCCCCCACCCCCCTAACTTGTGATGTAATTTATGGATGGCCCCTTACAGTGAAGAGGGCTGTAAGTTGTTTTGTCATTGTAGTTTTATGAAATAAAAAACCTTTGTTCCAGACGTAACTCCTCATTGATCAAGGGCTCGTTTGGGCACCAGGGTGCACACCACGCGATGGCCTGATCCGCCGGCTATGGCCCAACCGCCATACTCCTTACCCTGGGGCCTGCACTACCCGCACAGGTGAGTAAAAGACTTATACATATTATTTCACTCTTTCCTCTAGAGTGACTCTTCAAAAAATTGAATTGGACTATCTCGGAATCAACGAACACTAAACATTAAATGAAACTTACCTTTCGGATTTTACCGCGTTGAAATTAAACTTTTTTTAATCCTCGACTATTCAGGCACTTGATATTACTTATGGTCACGGAGGAACCTTAGAGTGATTACATACATACGTCTGCATAGAGAGAACCTACAATTTTACAGAAATTGAGTCAATATACTTGTCTCGCTTTTCCATTTTTTTTCTCAAAGAAGGCAAAAAGAGACAATTCCGTTGAAAGACGTTGCGTGTAAATCACGCGTGGAAATAGAAATGTCAAGAGGTCATCTTTGGTCTCTTTATAATGTGCCAAATATGAGAGTAAGTATACTCGTATCTTCTGATTTTCTAGAAAAATGACATCCCTAATTTAGTAGTATTATATGTGACGTTACTTTACAGACATGGCGTCTTTAATCTATAGTGATTTCGTTCGCAATGTTAGCATCAGTCGACATCGATATAATCGATTTTGTTTAGTTATTTATTTTTGTTACTTTATTATATGTCTAAAAATATAAAGAAATAGGACTAGACATTATCCAGACAATCAAATAAATTGTTTTCTAAAACAAGTGGCTGCCACTCGAGAACCTATCTTATCATAGAAAAGTCCAAACTAATAAATGTGTGTGGTAACACCAGTTAACAATTTAATTTATAAATCTAATAGAATACTTAGTACATAACTTTAACCCCTCCCTTCACTAACCCTTCCTTTATGGCAGCCTCGTACCGGTAGGCGAAGTGTAGGGCGTCCCCCCACGAGATGGAGTGACGACCTGGTAAGACATGCAGGAAGTCGATGGATGCAGGTGGGTCAGGACCGTGCTTTGTGGCATTCTTTGGGGGAGGCCTATGTTCAGCAGTGGACTTGTGAAGGGCTGTAATGATGATGAATGATGATAAAACAAGTGATAATGATTATTTTATTACATTGCAAATATTCGTTTCGCAAACTTTAAAAGCTAATAGTTAGGTATGAATACTAAGTCTTCACAGACATACGGTGTATAAACGAGATAGATTTTTCTTAAAGGATAAGGGTGACAAACGAGCACACAGTCCACCTGATGATTTAAGTGATCGCTGCGGCCCACAGACATCTACATCTATCCTCTAATACAAATCAAAATGCAGATGCGTTGTCAGTCGTGAGGACTAAGATGGAATGCCTCTTTTCCAGTAAAAAGGTCTGCTTCTCACACTCAGCATACGAAACACAGCAGCATTAAGCTGCTATTTGCCGCTGATATTCTGTGAGAGCGTGGTCCTTCCCCGGTCGAGAGTTTATTTTTAAGTTTATCAGTAGTTTTTTTCCTTGATTTACTCTATTGTTCATTTAATTTTGTCACCTATCACTTAATTTCTACACATCCCGGGTCGACTGGGAGAGAATGCCTAAAAGCATTAAGTCCGCCCTTTGTAATCCTTTTTATTAAGGTGCAATAAAGTGTAAATAAATGCCACAAAGCCTGGGCCTGAGCCACCTGCATCCATCGACTTCCTGCAGACCAGGTCATCACTGCACTAAATTAATTACTAAGGAACAGTTTTCCTGTTTATTCTGATTATATTTCTTATAATTTTTTTCTTTTATTTAGTTTTATTGTACCTGCGGCATTAAGTCCGCCTATACACTATACATGATCTTGTATGAAGTAAAATAAATGAATAAATAATACACAATTTGCCAACAGGGAGGCGGGGGCGGGTCGCCGCGACATCGAGGCCGCGTACTCCGCCAGCGGCGCAGCGCTGCAGCCGCTGTACCTGCAGCGTCCTCACACGCACTACGAGCCCCAACAGACGCACTTGCCGTAAGCCACAACCCACAACCCACAACTCTACACCACCCTAACAATAACCGACGCTACAGCCGCTGTACCTGCAGCGTCCTCACACGCACTACGAGCCCCAACAGACGCACTTGCCGTAAGCCACAACCCACAACCCACAACTCTACACCACCCTAACAATAACCGACGCTACAGCCGCTGTACCTGCAGCGTCCTCACACGCACTACGAGCCCCAACAGACGCACTTGCCGTAAGCCACAACCCACAACCCACAACTCTACACCACCCTAACAATAACCGACGCTACAGCCGCTGTACCTGCAGCGTCCTCACACGCACTACGAGCCCCAACAGACGCACTTGCCGTAAGCCACAACCCACAACTCTACACCACCCTAACAATAACCGACGCTACAGCCGCTGTACCTGCAGCGTCCTCACACGCACTACGAGCCCCAACAGACGCACTTGCCGTAAGCCACAACCCACAACCCACAACTCTACACCACCCTAACAATAACCGACGCTACAGCCGCTGTACCTGCAGCGTCCTCACACGCACTACGAGCCCCAACAGACGCACTTGCCGTAAGCCACAACCCACAACCCACAACTCTACACCACCCTAACAATAACCGACGCTACAGCCGCTGTACCTGCAGCGTCCTCACACGCACTACGAGCCCCAACAGACGCACTTGCCGTAAGCCACAACCCACAACTCTACACCACCCTAACAATAACCGACGCTACAGCCGCTGTACCTGCAGCGTCCTCACACGCACTACGAGCCCCAACAGACGCACTTGCCGTAAGCCACAACCCACAACCCACAACTCTACACCACCCTAACAATAACCGACGCTACAGCCGCTGTACCTGCAGCGTCCTCACACGCACTACGAGCCCCAACAGACGCACTTGCCGTAAGCCACAACCCACAACCCACAACTCTACACCACCCTAACAATAACCGACGCTACAGCCGCTGTACCTGCAGCGTCCTCACACGCACTACGAGCCCCAACAGACGCACTTGCCGTAAGCCACAACCCACAACTCTACACCACCCTAACAATAACCGACGCTACAGCCGCTGTACCTGCAGCGTCCTCACACGCACTACGAGCCCCAACAGACGCACTTGCCGTAAGCCACAACCCACAACCCACAACTCTACACCACCCTAACAATAACCGACGCTACAGCCGCTGTACCTGCAGCGTCCTCACACGCACTACGAGCCCCAACAGACGCACTTGCCGTAAGCCACAACCCACAACCCACAACTCTACACCACCCTAACAATAACCGACGCTACAGCCGCTGTACCTGCAGCGTCCTCACACGCACTACGAGCCCCAACAGACGCACTTGCCGTAAGCCACAACCCACAACTCTACACTACCCTAACAATAATAATATTAAAACAAAACAACTGATAAAATTAAACATTTTGTACAACCGATTTCAATATAAATGAAATGAGAACCTTCCAGTAAAGTACTGAGAGGGTTTAGAGAGAGGCAGAACCAGATTGGACTCAAACAATCGCCCTGGAAGATACCCATTCTTATCCTTATGTGGTTCTCCGCAGCCGTCATCCGCTCGCCTAGATGACAAAGGATCGTACTCATTGCGCTATACACTACCCGAAGAAGTCTCGAACTGTACAGTCAACCTTGTATAGCTCAAGGACCCTCTTCAGTCATGTATGAGGCACCGAATCGAATGCCTTATTGTAATATATCCAGGCTACGGAGAGGTTCTGACGGTTGCGTTTAACCACCTTGCAAATGACCGCGTCAATGAGGAGTGGTTCCTTGATTCCACGACCACATTCGTGTCTTGTATATGGTTGGTAGACACTTTATGCGGCGGTATTTGCTTGGGTCTGTGGTATCTTGGTCTTTAAGAATCATGAGTGATCCCAGTTGTGAAGGCGCTCGGGAGCGACTTCTGGTCGAGAGCCTCTTGAAACTGTCGGGCGAGCATAGCGTGACACATCACGAACCCCTTCATCCAGTAGTGATGCAGTCCGTTGAGCCCCGGACTTTTCCAGTTCGGGGCCCTTCGGTTCGCCTCAGCTACGTTATCCGCTGTTATGATGACGGGGTCCATGGGCGTAACACTCGCACACTGATTCGCCACAACTTCCGGCCAAGGGCCCTGTGGTATACGGGCTCTAACCACAGGCCGCACCAGAATGCGACAGTGTCAGCCTGATTCGGTGTTGGGCCCGTTCCACGTACCATTGGTCGCTCCAATTATTTATAGAGCCTTTTCTGATCACTCTGGAAGAGACGATTCTGGTTGAACTGTGTCGACCTCTCGGTATATCGCTGAATCCACTTTCCCCAAGCAGCGATTCTTTGCTTCAGGTCGTCTACGCGCTCCGTCAGTTTTTGTATTATATCCGGCTGGAACAAGCTGATATTTGTCCCAGCAAACGCCATCCTGACGGTGCGCACAATTCTCGGCCTATTATTGCCCGACCTGAAGCTTATAAGTCTGCCGATGAGGGCCCTTGCTTTTGCGATACGGTCCTCAATCCTTCTTCTCCAAGCTGGGATAGCGCTACTTTGTTTAGTAGCGCGTCCAGACGTGGGATGTTTGGCACCAACAATGCGGCAAACTGCCAATGCAGCGCCAAACAGTATTGAGTCCGTATCGCGAAGGTCCCGGCTGGTTTCCAAGTAGGTTGCCAGCAATGGGTTCAGGGCGTTTCCATAATCGCCTCCTCCAATTTACTCCTCATCTGCTCTAGTCCATGGGTGACTATTCCATCATCGCCTGAATCAACCAGAGCGGGAATATCCATGGCGGCTCCACATGTGGCTACTGGTCTATGGCCTTAGGAGCCGCATCCCCAGCTATAGTTGGAACATTCGATGAGGGAATAGCCTCACGCCGTAGTCGTTCGAGTTCGGCATCATCAAATAATTTTGAGCGCAAGATGTACCGAACTTAGTCTGCCAGGTTTTGCTCTGTGACGGGAACAGACGGCTCCAGCTCAGCAAAAAAGCGATGCATCCGAGCCCGATACGCTATTCCTCCAGTTTTTTCCCCTTGCGCCCTATAGTACGCCCGAAATGCGTTTGTGTTCATATTTTTTCTCCAACGCATGCGGCGTAGGTACTCTACTAGCGGCGAGAGCCGCTTTGCTGAGTCCGAGAGGACCCTGCCGACACCAAACCATCTGGTGGGGATAATGGGTGCGAAGGGCTACTAGGTGGTGGTGCAGCACCTTGCGCTTGGCTGGCGCCCGCATGCTGTCGCGTCCAGCGCCAGCTCCAGTCGCGCCCCGGCGACCGCCAGGCAGCGGCCCTATGCGCGTTCTATTTTTGTCCATCATCCATAAAATGGGCGTCAATTAACGGAAGACGCCCAGGTCTGGCGCCGTTTAATAGTGTGGTCGTAAGCACAAACGGGCCTTTGCACCCTCAATTCTGCCGAGGCACGGCGCTCACACCTCTTGGCAAGGCGCTGACTGACTGCGCCGACGTAGCAGTTTTGTCACTTAACCGTTACGTCACCGACCGATGAGGTCGTCACTTCTCTACGAGAATTTATTATTATTATTTTCGGAAAGTGTTTTTCCGAAAATAATAATAGCATAGCTTCTCAGCCCTTATACTGGAATTCAACTACATTTACGGACCGAAATCAAAGCAAATGCAGCGTGTGGTGTGTATTTTATTTATTTTCATGAGGTGCTTTATCTTTTTCTTCTATCTGCATGAATTACCTGACAATTCTGCATGTATTTAACATAGCAGCTTTTTGCAGTATTTGTCATTAATTACTGTAGGATCTTTGATTATGTATTTTCTGTGGTTTTTTATGTTTATAATTTGGTCTTGAATAACTACTATGTATCCTTCGGTTCGAATACAAATTGCCTATTTTCAGTCATTTATTTGAGGCTAACTTATTTATGTGAGATTGATACAAGTCATGAGGGTGAACGAAAGTATGCTGATCATTTAATTCTCTTATATGTGGCTTTTCTGCAAGGTGGTTCATTGTATTATTTACTGTATTATTTATAGCATTGTATTATTTACTGACAGTCATTTTTCTATGAAAGAAAGATCTAAGGGTTGAGAGCTGCTTAGTCCAGAGCGCCTGGATATCTATAAGACCTCTTCCACCAAAATTTCTGCCTACTGAAATTCTTTCTACTGCAGACTTGGGATGTAAATGATTAAATGTTGTTAGTATGGTATTATTTATTATTATTAAAATACTCAGTGAAGAATAGCACATTTTCTCTTTAATCCTGTTTAGTTTATTTATTTAAATAAATAAATAAATATCATTTTATTGCCACTTTTAAATACATGTTTACATATAAACTAATTATTTAATCTTAATTTAATTTAGGCAAACGGAGGTGACTCAGCTTTTGCTCACATGGAACTAGATCCCATGAAGCGCTGGTTTTCAGGCACTCCTTCTTCCGTGAGATGTTACACGGGTGTTATGAGAATTTCGAGTTCCCCAATCACCTCTTTCATTTACTCATCTATCATTGGAATTTAACATGGTATGGTTGTGAACTTTCATAACTTTCATATTTGAATTTTGAACACAAACATAATATACATCGCTGCAAATAGCACTACATATTGCATTTGTAAATGAAGAAAATCTTAAAGTGCACGCCTCGTGAGCATTTCATTTAATATTGATGAAAAAAAAAATTGTATTCCTGACTTTTTAAAATATATTTACGTGTTTTAAATTTAGCGCCTTATTATTTTAACAGGTAGTGTAACTTACAGGAAAAAAAATAATAATGTTTACGAAAATAAACCGATTACACAAAGTATAAAATCGATATAGGTTGTATGGTATATTTGTCCTTTGTCTATCAAGGGCTAAAAAAATAAAATGAAAGCGCCTTTTTTAAATAGCAATAAAAAATTAAAAATATAAAAGTTGAAAATCGGAGAGTTTTGGCGGGAACTTGACCGGCGGACGTTTTTCTGCTCCTGTATTATTGTTTAAATAATGGTTTGAGGTGGACTTTGATATGTAAATATGGTGCAATTTTATGTATTAAGTGTCTGTGCATGTGAACTATTAGTGTAAACGGTGAAACAAGTGCTCTGATGGTGATGTGATTCTCAAGATAAGGTGTCTGTCTGCTTAGGCGCCTTGAGATACCATCGCCAACTGTCAGCTGCCTGCTGGCTCAAGTAGCCGTCAAAATCTCCCAAGGGCGTGTGACGCGTCAACATATTGTGAAGCAGTGAACTATGAAGGATAAAGATTTAGTGCGATTGCCAAGTCAATTTATTTATTTAAAATATAAAAAATTTTGGTGCCACTGTTAGAATTTAGCGAACAGTTGCCAAATATAAACTGCACATTGTATTCATTCACACACACTCCTTACACTCTACGTACACATTAACTACACTTACACTATAGACACACATCACACATACTTTATGCACATACACATACTTAACTTTTAATTATAATCCATGGCAAGAGCAAAACCATCCAATACAGTCATTTTACATGCTTCCTGGGTGGTTCTGGCCACGGCATATTACTGTAACCCACCAATGTTAAAGTAATAAACTATTTTTAATTTAATTAAGTTGTCCTCACAGTTAGAAAGGCTCATGTTGTGTTATCCTATTTTTTTATAGGATAAGGGTGAAAACGAGCACACAGTCCACCTGATGGTAAGTGGTTGCTGCGGCCCATAGATATCTACGTCTAACCTCGATTACGTATCAAAATGCTGATGCGTTGTCACCCATGAGGACTGACATGGAATGCCTCGTTTCCAGTAAAAAGTGTCTCCGGTTCTCTACACTCACCATACGAAACACAGCAGCGTTAAGCTGCCATTTTACGCTGGTATTCTGTGAGAGCGTGGTCCTTCCCCGGTCGAGCCGACCCATTCGTGCTACAACTATACTACTAATATAGCTGCAGCATGGCTCTACCACGTATGTTTATTAGCTTTGGACACACAAGATACTGACGAGCTCCAATTTGGTTAGACATCTTGATGTTAGAAATTTCCTCATCATCATCATCATTGCAGCCCTACATAAGTCCACTGGTGAACATAGGCCTCTTCCAAGGAATACCACAAAGCACGGTCCCGAGCCACCTGCATCTTATGTCTTCCTGCATGTCTTACCAGGTCGTCACTCCATCTAGTGGGGGGACATCCCTATACTGTCGATACGAGGTTGCCACCTGCAGACCCTTTCTTCCACATCATTTGTCACATTATTCTTACTACACTAATTCATATCATCACGTGGGTGTCGTAAGAAACTACAGAGGGAAACCGGGAAAGAGCAGCGTGTTCCTAATAACTGCCCGAAAGAATTACTGCGGCTGTCAGCCCGCCTGCCACGTAGCAACTGCGTAGCAACTGTAGCAAGTATCCTCCTAGTGAAGCAATTCTTGGCGAGGTATATGTTCAGCAGTGGATATTTATAGGCTGATGATGATGAATTTAACGCTTCAATGGCACAGCTTTAGCGTTACCATTACACCCTATTTAACTTCACTGCTGAACATAGAACTCCCCCGTAGATTGCCTCATAGTTGGCACACTTAGCAAGCGGGTTGGTAACCGCAGTTTCTTAATTTTACTCGTTATTAGAAATACGCTGCTGTCCAACTCCTGATTAGAATAAAATAGAATAGAATAGAATAGAATAGAATATTTTTTTATTCAATATACATTACATGTGTAATTCTTATTGAAAGTCATTTTTTACTTTACCACTGGTTCGAAAAAAACCTCTGTCCTGGGAAGAACCAGCAAGAAACCTAGCAGGACTTTTTTTAAAAGCATATTTTACATTAATGGTTGGTACAAAATTTATTTTAGAAACTGCTTGGAAGCGACCTCCTCATTCCCAGGGGTTATTATCAACCATGTATTCATTTATACTATAATAACCCTTTTTATACAGTTTCAGCTTAACAAAACATTTAAACTTGGTAATAGAGAGAGCCTGTACACTTTCCGGGACCTTGTTGTAATAGCGTATACATTGCCCCAAGAATGAATTACTGACTCTGTGGAGTCGAGAAACTGGTATCACTAGCTTGTGTTTGTTCCTAGTGTTTACATAATGTATATCACTTTTTTTACTAAAACTACCTTTGTTTTTGTGATTTGTTTCCCCCTGTCGCCCAAATACCAGTAGTTAGCTTATATTATAATAACTTTAAAATCATTTGATAAATTGAAATTCGTTCCAGATGCAAGAGTGACGGCGACGAGATCAGATCCGAGTATAGACAACAGTATCACTTGCATAGGTAACTATCATTTCTTATTGGTACGAAGTTCCTTATCGGACGGTACGGGTTTGGCGGATGGGAGCTAGGCGACAAAAAGTGTAAGATATTTTTGTCACTACCCCTTGTGTCATAGTGTATACGAAAGGAATAAGGAAGTGAGATGGAATAATACCTATCCATCTCCCTCGCACTTTTTCTTATCTTGCCATGAAAGGAATATTATTTTATTTCAAATGACGCTTCACTTTAACAGACGCTAGTAATTCATTTATTTGTATTTGTTAATCAATAATATAATACTTAAGTTTATCAATAATAATATACTACGCAAGGAACTTCGTTCCAACCGAGTGTTCCACGACACTCTTTTTTTTTTAACGGGAGCGGTCCTCAACGTGTCTCGACATCGCAGACCACAAACTTGGGGAAATACAAAAATGATTACAAACGAACGCGATAAAATCCCAAAACAATAGTTTCATCCTGTGTGTAGTATTATAAAATTCACATAAAATGTTATCAGACTATCATATATCATATAAAATAGCCACATATAAATATTATATGATATGATATATAAAATAATATGTATCAGGTACTTAAGAGTTCCTCTCCCTGATTTGTGTGAAATGGCAAACGAAGGCACAGTTCACATTGTCTTCAAGGTGAAAGCGCCAGGGTAGGCCGCGAAATTCAAATTTTCTTACATTTTTTGGAATTTGCAGGTCAGGGTCAGGTTGTATGTTTAACAAAATATGATTCGCGGCCATAACGAGTATGTATTTACAGAATTATAATCATTATAATCATCAATACAACCCTCTAAGTTCGTATAATCCCATAGTATGGCTATTTCCAGAAAAAATCATTTAAAAGAAGTTTTCTCCCTCGCACGACCTCCTTGTGGAATCGATTACCACCAGCGATTTTTCCGGACCGATACGACTTAGAGACCTTCAAGAAAAGAGCTTCTCCTTTTTAAAAGGCCGGGAACGCATCTGCAATTCCCCTGGTTCCCCTGGTGTTGCGGTTGTTCATGGGCGGTGGTAGTCACTTACCATCAGGTGAGTCGCATGCTCGTTTGCCCCCTCTTCAATAAAAGAAGGGATTATATAAACTGGGAGGGTTGTATTGGTGACTTTAATGATTATAATTCTGTAAACGTTTTTTGTGTGGTAGAGCCATGCTGCAGCTATATTAGTAGTATAGTTGTAGCACGAATGGGTCGGCTCGACCGGAGAAGGACCACACTCTCACAGAATACCAGCGTAAAATAGCAGCTTTACACTGCTGTGTTTCGTATGGTGAGTTTAGAGAACCGGAGACTCTTTTTACTGGAAAAGAGGCATTCTATCTTAGTCCTCACGGGTAACAACGCATCTGCGTTTTGATTCGCAAACGAGGATAGATGTAGATGTCTATGAGCCACAGCAACCACTTACCATCAGGTGGACTGCGTGCTCGTTTGTCACCCTATCCTATAAAAAAAAATGCATACTCGTTATGGTCGCGAATCATATTTTGTTAAACATATAATCTGACCCTGACCTGCAAAGTCCAAAAAACGTAAGAAAATTTGAATTTCGCGGGCCACCCTGGAACTTTCATCTTAAGCCTGTAACTGTACTGACTCTATACACACTTCAGAGTGGAGCACAGTGTGAAGAGTCGCACCAGTGCAAACATTTGCTCTCTGGCGGCAGAAATAGCTTTCTTCTTAAATTGATTTCAATAAAGTACAGTTTTATTTCAATGCTAGCTGTTCCCCGCGACATCGCCCGCGTGTAATTTAGGGTATTAGTTTATTTGTGTGGATCCCTAATTTCTTTTCTAAAATAAAAGTAGCCTAAGTTACTCATTTTTATAATGAGCTATCTAACAGTGAAAGTCCCATCAAAATCGGTCGAGCCGTTTCGGAGATTAGCCGGAACAAACAAAACAGACAGACAGAGAGACAAAAATTTTAAAAATTGTGTTTTTGTTATAGGTACCGTATATACTTTTATATGCAATTAGTAAAGTTAAGTTAAGCTGTTATTTTGATATTACAAACAGACACCTCAATTTTATTTTTTGTATAGATAAACAGTAAAGGTACAAGGTAAGAGGCTGGTACTGACCTAAACGGACTGTTAAGCACAAAATGGCTTCTACCATTTAGAATTTGAATAATTAAAAAAAATTAACCAAACGCGACTGCTGTTCATGTGGCGGGACCTGGAGCAATCCGGGATTCGAACCCCGGGTTGCCCAAAAAACCAGTTGTTGAGTATTTCTGTCAAGAAATTATCAGTAACAGGCAGGAGGCAGGAAGCTCCTGTGCCTGGTTTCTCCGGTGTCCGTTTACCTTCCCATCGAACTATAGAAAGAGGGGATAGAGAGTGCACCTGAGCTTGCCTATACTATAACACTATAGTCCTGTCCTATGCAGATGGCTAGTCTCCGTTGAGGCTGCTCACCGTGATATTAATTCGGTCTGGAAGACGTTATTCATTTTATAAATATACTAGCTGGCCAGGCAGACGTTGTTCTGCCCTTTTCGGCGACCCTTAATATAAAAAATCCTTAATATTGAGTGTCACTTATCAGGATAAAAACTATCCTATCTCTCAAGTTGGACCAAACTGCACACAGTGTGCAAATTTTCATTGAAATCAGTTCAGTAGTTTAGGAGTTCATCGCGGACAAACAACGTGACACGTAATTTTTATATATAAAGATTAATGTGTACGTCAAAGCTTTGTGCCAAAATAAACTCTTTGTTTTTTTTTTTTATTTTTTTCTTATTATTTTATGTGACTAAATGAAACATCTATACAGCTCAGTTATGAATATCTTTTTCTTCATCGAACTGTACAAAGGTGATCATAGGTCTCTCCCGATAATCGAATATCGGGATAAAAGTGTCTCCATCGTCATGCTCAGCAGGCGGCTTGAGGATCGCAATACCATATGTGACACTGCTGCTCGGTGACATGTACATGTATCGTCGATTAAAAATCAAAATGCTGATGCGTTGTCACCACTAAGGACTGGGATGGAGTGCCTCGTTTCCAGTACAAAAGGGTCTCCAGTTCTCTACACTCACCATACGAAACACAGCGGCAATAAGTTGCTACTTTACGCTATAATTATATCAGAGTCATCTATTCTAGAAACACTGCATTACACTATAATTTATAATCTTCGACATAGATGCGGTTCCCTAGGCAAATGTACAGAGGAGGTGGAGCCTAGCGAGGAGGCCGTCTCCAGCTCCGCGGAGCAGCAACCCTGGGGAGACAAAATGGGTTTGTAAACTTCCTTCTTGTTTTTGAATAGTGACTTTTTTGACTTTCGTATTTAATCTGTACTGAGGCTTAATAATATCAAACTTTCAGGGGTTCATAACATTTTAATTTGAGGGTATTTAGAAATATTTAGAAGTAAAAAAAATTCTTTTAGGTGCGATAGGCGATTTTTGGATAGGTGAAATGTTACGAGTTCTCGTCAACAACATGCTGTTATAGCAGCATATAATATGTTATGGAACGAGTGCTTAATCAGAGCACTATTTATAATAAACGGGCAATGTGAATTGTCAAAGTCGAAATATGGAAGTCAAAAGACTTGTTATTCTAGTAGACTATAGTCTGTTCGCTAAGATAGTGTCAGTACACCGGGAGACGCACTTATTATTTTGCTTTTATTTTATTATTTTTTACTGCGTTTGTTAAATAAATGTTTTTTCTATTATGGTGATTGTATTAAAATACGAATATAAATAATAAAAACAAGTAAGGTAGCAAAGAACCTTTCACTACGGCGCTTCGTTTTAAAATACCAAAATTATCCTTCGGGTGTACGCCGCACGCGGTGACTTTTAATGTCGCAGCGATGCCTTTGACAAAATGCGGCACATGCCAAGGCGGCGCGGCGCAAATCAAAAGCGACCGTATCTACGCGTACAGACTATACGTAATTAATAGATACTGATTCAAACTATATTATGTATCATATTGTCTTGTCATAACCTAACTTAACCTATCATTTTATTACTCTGCCCAGTAAGTAACGGACCTTATTCATAAAGCCCGTTCGATTTAATTATTGCAATAGTTTTTGACGTGACAACGTCTTATAATTCGATGAAGCTGGCTGCACGCACGAAAAAAACATGACTCATGCGGCGTTACCTCGCTCTGAGGCGTTCCATTTAAGGCTTGAAGTGCAAGCGAGAGCGCGGAACGAGCGACAAAGAGGCACAATCGGCGTTGTCACGTTCAACTATCGTCAATAAACCGACTTTACAGACAACCGATTTTTTATCGTGTTCCCTGGACATAATGATCTCTCCCTATTAAAATTGGGTCATAACATATAATAAACGAGTAGAAGTATTGCTCGGAGTGCCGATACATCTAAAAACAGATTAATTTTAATAATTTTAATCTAAAAAATATGCAATTTTTATTTATATAATTATTTTGAAAATCCCAAAAAAAGAACACGATTATTACATAATTTTATGTTTTTGCTAGCTGTTCCCTGTGACTGCGCCCGCGTGTACTTTAGGGTTTTTATTATGTTGTGCGGAACCCTAATTCTTCTCCTAAAATATAAGTAGCCTTAGTTACACCTTATAACATCAGCTATCTGCCAGTGAAAGTCCCGTCGAAACAGACAAAAATTGTGTTTTTGTTATAAATACCGTATATACTTCCATATGAGTTTAGTAAAAAGCAGTTATTTTGATATTACAAACAGACACTTCACTTTTATTTATTTGTATAGATTATTTTGTACATCTACGTGGTAGAGCCATGCTGCAGCTATATTATGGTTGTAGCTCTCACAGAATACCAGCGTAAAATAGTAGCTTAACGCTGCTGTGTTTCGTATGGTGAGTGTAGAGAACCGGAGACCCTTTTTACTGGAAACGAGGTATTCCATCTCAGTCCTCACGGGTGACAACGCATCTGCATTTTGATTCTTAATCGAAGATAGATGTAGATGTCTATGGGCCGCAGCAACCACTTACCATCAGGTGGACTGTGTGCTCGTTTGTCACCCTTATCCTATATAAAAAAAAATCCCAAAAAAAATCACTGTTATTTCATAGTTTTGTTTTTATTTCTGTCAGCATCCCATTGACTGTCAATCTTTATTTTAAAACTTTAGAAAACTGTAGGTGCCCCTGTATATTGCGCAAATAGGAGTGTAAGTTAAAGTTTATATGGAGAATAAGTGCAGAAGCTTTTCTATAGTATAATGGTGGCAAAGGAGCACACAGTCCACCTGATGGCAAGTAGACATTTACATTTATTCTCGATTAATAATTAGGTATTATAGTTATGGAACGAATGGGTTGGTTCAACTGGGGTATAACGCCCTCACAGAATGCCAGCGTAAAATAGCAGCTTAATACTGCTGTGTTTCGTATGGTGAGTGTAGAGAACCGGAGACCCTGTTTCAGTAAAAAGGATCTCCGATTCTTTACATGCCTCCATCACTGAATTGAGGCATTCCATCTTTGTCCTCAAGGGTGAAAATGCATCTGCACTTTGATTCTTAATTGAGGATAGACGTAGATGTCTATAAGCTACAGTATCCACTTGCCATCAGGTGGGTGATGTGCTCCTTTGTCATACTTATTGTATAAAATATGTGCAGTTGAAGTTAAGTGAAATACAGCTTGCTTAACATACAAAATTAAATTGCTTAAGGTTACTGTTATAGTTTAATGTATTACGGTCGAACTTCGACCACTAGACGACCACTAGTTTTTTATTACTTGACGAATGTAACTGTTCCAGCAGGTCGCAGCTCGCTGTGCTCAGTGGCGCCCTCCTCCCGAACGGACGCCGCCTCTCCCAACCAACACGTCTCCACCACGCACTCCGGTAAGACATCAATTGATAAATAAAATAGATAATAGAAAAGCTCAAATAATATCACGTGTCTTAAATAAAATAAAAATAAATTTTATTTCGTTTTAAAAAGTACATGCAACTAGTTTATTTGAACCTCCATTAAAGCAAATAATACCTGTATTTGGTGGGTCCGCCCTTCCATAACTATACCCATGTTACAAGGGTTGTCTTACATATGTAACAGTGTTAACAGTGGTAGAGCCACGCGGCAGCTTTTGCTGTCGCACGGATGGGCCGGCTCGAACCGGGGTGGTACCACGACCTCACAGAAAACCAGCGTGAAGTAGAGGTTTGCCTCTGCGTTTCGCTTGGTGAGTGCAGGTGGCCGGAGGCCCTTTTTACTGGAAATGAGGCATTCCATCTTAGTCCTCTCGGGTGACAACGCATCTACATTTTGATTTGTAATAGAGGATAGATGTAGATGTCTATGGGCCGCAGCGACCACTTACCATCAGGTGGACTGTGTGCTCGTTTGTCACCCTTATCATATAAAAAAAAAATGTATTTCAAACCTCACTTTCCTCCACAAAATTGCGTACACCAACACTGTCACCACTCAAGTAACACACAAGAGTTATAACAAAGAGTTACAGTAGCCGCTTAACAGGTATACGTAATGACTATCTCCTTATGTAAGTGCTACAATAGTGATGGAGAACTTCTCAATCTCTTCTAAACCACTGATAAGTGCCCACTTTATACGGGCTTCAGTGCTACAGCAGCGGTACAATTAGCGACATAGTGAGTTTGTAAAGAAAGAAATGTGATTTTTGGAGCTAAAAAATATACAAGAAGTTCTTGTGTCATATAGAATTTGCACATGATTGCGACTCGACTGTAACTCGTAACTAAATCTTAAAGCATCTTGAAGGTATCTCACTCACCAGATGTCGCTAGTTGGTACTGAGGTGAAGTTTTTCGTTACAAAATATCATTTAATTAAAAAAAATAGATTTAAATTAAAGTTTTATATTAAAGTATTATATTAATACACAAAACGATGCATTTTTTTTAATTGTTCACATTTCAGGAATATCTAGATAAGTTTATTCGTTTCTAATCCAATTAGTATAAAACATAACTAATATTGCAGAAATAAACATTAACCCTTATATTTTCTTAACAAATTTATTGCCTGCTATGAAATCTGGCAGAAAAAGTCGATACCCTCATTGCCATTGGCTCAAGACTGTCTTCTGGCTTCTTGGGGGGAGATCTATGTTAACCTGTGGACTTGCGAAGGGCAGCAATACGACGCGAATAAATATATAAACTCCACTTGAAGTAATTAAGTGAAGTTACAGCGTACTTACATCCCACAGGTGGACACAGATCTTCTCTCATAAAGTAAAGTAAATAGTTGCAGCCTATTCACATCCCACTGCTGGGCACAGGCCTCCTTTCATTTCTGAGAGGGTTTTAGAGCAAGGAATTGCCCCAATGCGTGTTGGCGAACTTCACATGTCTTCGAAATATATTTTTTCTTATTTATCAGACATGCAGGTTTCCTCGCGATGTTTTCCTTCACCGCCTAGCACGTGGTAAATCAGCACTTAAAATTGCAACTAACAATTTCATTGGTGCCGGTGGGGATCGAACCCGGGTTGCTCGAGTACTGTGAAGCTTACAGCGAACGCTATCCATCTGAGCTACAACGGTTGAGACGATTTACGGGGACTACAGGAGCTGGGCGGAAGTTTTATAATGCCTTAAAGTAAATGAGCCACTGCAGTAAGCAAAATTCGAAAAACATATGATATTTTTCAGGATATATGCTAGTTAGATAGTGTGTTGAAAATATGATACTAATAATTATTTACAATAGAAAAGAATCACAAAGATGATACTGTGGCGGGTAGAAGAAGTGGAGATCTCCCGCCGGCCAAGGTTTTCTGCCCGGGGAGCGGCCAACGCTCCGAGTGGTAGCTTTTTTTGCGCCCAGTATCCCGTCAACGCGAGGAGGTGCTGAATGCTTTATGCATACCACGACAGTCGGTCTGTCGTGATTATGTGGGACTCACTGTGTCTAACTAACCGAGAGCCTAAGTGATACTTACTAAACATCGCCTTTGGGGAATGGCAATGGCCTATGAAGCCTCTCTGGCAGATCGGAAGCGACCCTCTTTTGGGAAAAGAGGGCGCAGGTAGTTGTAGTTCGGAGCTATTCTATATATGCTGCTTTAACTTCGGAACTTTGTTAGCGCGATTTAGGCTTCGATGTGTTTCGCTTGCGGCGCGACGACAGCGCCGCCACAATACCTCTAAAAATTACTTTTAATGATTAAAACCCATTCTAATATACATGCAATCATTCTGATTTTTTGGCAAATTATTGTACAAACAACAGATTAACGTAATAGTGTATATATAGTATTTTATTTTTTAGTCTAATTAATAGATTTTTTTTAAATTGCATATTATTTATTTATGATCATACATAGACTATACATGTGTGCATCTTGTGTACCGACAGTGCCGGCCGATTCTTGATGCTATACACGAATTGTGTCAATGTGTGCATGCGTCATTTGAGGTCACTTTTTTATAGGATAAGGGTGACAAACGAGCACACCGTCCACCTGATGGAAAGTGGTTGCTGTGGACCATAGACGTCTACATCTATCTTCGATTAAGAATCAAAATTCAGATGCGTTGTCACCCGTGAGGACTAAGATGGAATTCCTCGTTTCCAGTAAAAAGGATCTCCGGTTCTCTACACTCACCATACGAAACACAGCAGCGTTAAGCTGTTATTTTACGCTGGTATTCTGTGAGACTCACGTAGCTCTTGTAGTCTCTCAAGGTATAAACAATTTGAAACGATGCCTTGTAAATGTGATGGATACTCTAACTCTTTGCTTCTATTTTAGTATGTATTGTCATTGTTACTTTGTGCAGGTGGTGGCAGACGGGGCGCGTTGCAGCTGTGGCAGTTCCTGGTGTCGCTGCTGGCAGAGGGAGCGCGCTGCGTCGCCTGGACCGGGAGGGGCTTGGAGTTCAAGCTTCACGAGCCCGAGGAGGTCAGTGCTATCCAACGCAGCCTATAAAATTCTCACGCTGAATTTGCTACATTAGATCTTGCATTGAGACAGCTTGCGTCAGAACGAGAGTCTAATCTTCTAAATGATTAAGAACCAGGCGATTCTGGAGAGGCTGTGTAAGGAAAGAGCTCACAAGATCCTGGGCAAAGTCTTGCGCCAAAGGGAAGAAACCAAGTGTCATCATCAAGCAAACAAAATTTTATAAAGTTAATAATCAAAAAAAATTCTAAACGTGGTCGAGTCAAGCTGCAGCTATATATATATATATATATATATAACTAGCTGTTCACCTCGACTTCGCCCGCGCGTAATTTATTACGATTTGATTTCATGAGTTTTAATTTTTTTGCGCGGAACCCTATTTCCTTTTCTAAAATAAAAGTAGCCTAAGTTACTTCTTATAACATCAGCTATCTGCCAGTGAAAGTTCGGTCAAAATCGGTTCAGCCGTTTCGGATATTAGCCAGAACAAACAGACAGACAAACAGACAGATAAAAATTTTAATAATCGTGTTTTTGTTATAAGTACCGTATATACTTTTATATGCATATAGTAAAAAGCTGTTATTTTGACATTACAAACAGATACATCAATTTTATTTATTTGTATAGATATAGTTGTAGCACGAATGGTTCGACTCGACCGGGGAAGGACCACGTTCTCACAGAATACCAGCGTCAAATAGCAGCTTAACACTGCTGTGTTTCGTATGGTGAGTGTAGAGAACCGGAGACCCTTTTTACTGCAAAAGAGGCATTCCATCTTAGTCCTCAAGGGTGACAACGCATCTGCATTTTGATTCGTAATCGAGAATAGATGTAGATGTCTATGGGCCACAGCAACCACTTACCATCAGGTGGACTGTGTGCTCGTTTGTCACCCGATCCTATAAAAAAATCAAGTACCAACCATTCCTATAGAATTTAAGAGCGCGTACCGGAATCTGAGTCTAATCGAAGTTTCCATCAGCGAAACGAATTGTTTTTTTTTTTAAAAAAAAAAACGTTACCTCCACACTAGGATTTTCTCCTGTATCGTGGAGGCCTTTTCGAACCCGCGGCCCCCAGCGCAGCAACTCATTGCTAAGCCACTGCGCCACGGAGCCGTCAAATTGCTTTCATCACACTATCAAACTCCAAGTAATGGTAATCTAGAAACTGTCTTACATGGAACTGAGCAGAATAGCGTGAGCCAAAGTCACACACAGTCTTCAAGCCTTTTAAATCTTTCTCAAGATTGTTTAGTCTTAGATGATAGTGACATTGAAAATTACATCTTTGATCATACTGAGCTATATATATAGCTATTGGCATCGTTGATATCTTCAAATGAACCACAAAACCATAATATTGAAAAAAAAAAACACCGGTCTAAATTTTTACATCAATCATCTCCTTTACCAAATGCCGCTGAGCGTGACTAAAAGACCTAAGGAATTTACAGAAATTGAAGACTAAAAAAAGAAAATTAATAAAAATTACGAAAACTAAAACACAGACAAAAAAACACATAATATTAAAGCCACCAAAAATGTTGACAACATTTGTGTTTCCAACTGTTTACAAATGTTTCCAACAAGCGTCTCCACTGAGGGAACAATGTTTGCAACAAGCGTATTCCTTTGATGTTGCCGCCAAAATTGGAAACACGGTTTCCGACATTATTTCAAATTTTGTTGCCAACACTAGGTAATTACAGAAACATTTGTTACCAACACGTGTTGGCAACACAACAGTTGCTAACAAAACTTTGGTGGAGACGCGGCTTTAGACAGTAAAAACTAAATCAGTTGGTAACAAGAAAAGCATTGAGAAGAAAAAAGGTCAAGCGAAAAAAGTCAATAGTAGAAAATACGACTAAAAATTTTAAATTGATAATTATTAGGCAGAATGTTTTGTAAATTATAATTGTACTAAGTCGAAAACAGATTGGATTAAGTATATAAGATTTGTCGCATGTGGTTGCATGAAACTTGTACCACGTTCAAAAGCCATTGCATGAGATGTGGAACGTTCAAAACTCTAGCTGCTGGTAATAATTGATGTTGATTGTCATATACGTGGTAGAGCGAGCCACGCTGCAGCTATATTATGGTTGTAGCACGAATGGGTCGGCTCGAACGGGGAAGGACCACGCTCTCACAGAATACCAGCGTAAAATAGCAGCTTAACGCTGCTGTGTTTCGTATGGTGAGTGTAGAGAACCGGAGACCCTTTTTAATGGAAAAGACGCATTCCATCTTAGTCCTCACGGGTGACAACGCATCTGCATTTTGAGTCTTTATTGAGAATAGATGTAGATGTCTATGGGTTACAGTAACCACTTACCATCAGGTGGACTGTGTGCTCGTTTGTCACCCAATCCTATAAAAAAAACATTATTGTATTTTTAAGTTATATGCTAATATTTTACTAATAACTTACATGACTTTAAGTTTGAATAATATTTTTATATTTTAAAACATTAAAACTGAAAAGTATTGAATTATATTAATTAAAATTTAAATTGTACTTATATTATGGAGACTGATAAATAAATAATAAAGATTACTTAAATTAATATAATTATTTTCTTATATTTACGCGAACACTTACACATATAAATAAAACTAGTTTTACGGATTTCATCGCGTATATTAATTTATTTTATATTCCCGACGTTTCGAGCACTTTACACCACTTATGGTCAACAATAAAAAAACGAACAAAAATTAGTAATTTTTAATCTGGAGGTAGCCGTGGTTAATTATGACATTATGACGTCATACACCTCAGTCCCGTAAAGTGCTCGAAACGTCGGCATTATAAAATAAGTTAGTATACGCGATAAAATCTGTAACATTAGTTTTATTTTGATATAAATTTGTTTTTATCCAATAAAATATATCGAGGTGACTGTCCCCGCACGAGGCGAGTATCCCCGAAGTATTTTGTACAACCGACTTCAATATAAATTATTAAGAATAACTCAAAAACTACTGGTTAGACTTTGATCAAACTTATATGGGACATGTGAAGTATCAGCTTTCAAATAAAAAAAAGAATCATCGAAATCGGTTCACCCAGTAAAAAGTTATGAGGTAAAACACATTAAAAAAAACATACAGTCGGATTGAGTACCGTCTCCTTTTTGAAGTCGGTAGAAAATAGGCAATTATAGAAGATAAAACACAGCTATGTTTTGAGATAATCATGCCTGCTACACGTGTTGGCCGACCGACGTAGCCTTCAGTAGTTGCAGGCTAAAGTGGCAATGGGTCAGTGACATTTGTCGCAGCAGCGATGACCCTTGCAGGGAGTCATGCAGTGGAGACCGCGTGTCGCTGCACGTAGTGTGGCGCGCCCTCTGCTTACGTGCAGCGAGCCTCTGCGTAAGGCGGCTGCCAGCAGTCAGCGTGGAGCCGAAGGACAAGCATACTCAAAACTGCATAATTTAGTTATCCACCTACAATTTTAAATTTTTCCTGTTAACGAACAGCGATATTAAAGAAAAAGACGGGCAAATAAATGAACAACTGTCTGTGAACACGTACAGGATCGCCTCCGTCACTACATTAGATTTGATAGACCACAAATCCTCGCTAAAGAACACTGATTCCTTCCAAGGATGATTCGCGAGGCTATTGAAATTAAAAAACATCCTAATTTTATTAGAAAAGATGGCTGGGTGCTGCCATCTGCTTGGGATCCTATCTATACATATAATAAAACTGTAAATAGCAGATGTCTGTACATTTAATATTTTTGTAATAAAAGTGATTGAGGGGTACTAAAAATAAGTAATTAAATACATTTCTACCATTTTTAGAATTTTCTGTCTGTCTGTCTGTCTGTCTGTCTGTCTGTTTGTTTGTTAACGTATCACGTATAAAGTACTAATTTATATCATAAGAATTGTTAAGGAAATTATAAAGTGTATCTTCGGGTTACATTTAGTCTTTATTTCATTAAAATCAGTTCATTCCATCAAAAGTTATGATAAATATTCTGAAGTATGGGTAGGGAAGTATAGGTACGAATTGCTCAACGGTGGCTTTGTTTGAGTCATCAAGTGCATTTTAAACTAATATCATATCATAAATCATAGTTAAATTATGTAAAATAATGATATAATTATGTATATCTAAAACGCAGTAAACAAAAGTAATAAAGAACGTATTAAATATATTATACAAAAATATATTAACGTTATTAACTAAATCTGAAGCACAATAGTTAACCCATTTCTTCGATAGATGGTGGTGTTGTGAAAATGCAATGCAATGTTTTATTAAAATTGGTTAATTCTATCGAAAGTAATGATTATTATTTTGAAATGTAGGTTCGAATTTGTTCAATGGCGCCATAAAATCTCTGAAATAGTAATAAAAAGATTTCTGTGTAAAAAAAACGTTCCATAATAATTAATATATTTATACTTAAAACACAAAAAGAGATAGGATGTTTTCTCACACAAAGGACGTAATAGATGGAGTTGTACAAATTACAAACTTTTCTGAATTGCTGTATTGAGATTTTTCGCCGATGTATCGTATCGTAGATGACGCCTTGACACATATGAGTATTGGTATTGTATAGTTTGTAATATGTAGTATATTGTAATTGTAATTTGTATTGTATAGCCAATATTATTTGTAAATTATGTGTTTCATTTTTAAGTTATCTGTGATGGCGTCATTTTGGAGAATAAACCTTTCTTTCTTTCTTTCTTTCTATTGAGACTTACTGAAGAAATTTGTATCCATCGAAGCCATACAACGGAACCCGACCAAAAATAAAAATTTCGCAACGAAATGTCGTGATATTGTATTTATTATATACGCAAAATCAGAACTGCCATTTTAGCGCTTTGGGAACTAGATTTAGCACTTTTTTGGAATGTATAGCGCGCATTTCGAAATTTTAGCACCTAGCGCTTAATCCAGCGCTTTTTGGTGTATTTAGCACACATTTCAATATTTTAGCGACTAGCGGGTTATTAACTCTTTTATAGGAGCACTGTTAGTCCACATTACCGATAATAATAATAATGACCTTTATTATTTTTTCTCACAAATAGTACCTACATTGCAGTTTATCTTTTTCAAACATATTTCTTCCACAAAACAAAGAGCATGGGAGACGAGTCCAAACTAGGATACCCTGTGCTATGGATCTCCTGGCTTCCCCTTTAGGATGATCAACTTGATTTTTTTACCGACGACTATAAGCGGGGAAATCCCCTTTATTAAAGTTTTCGTTCATGGTTTTGGCAACGCATTTATTTTGCTTTATTCAGTTTCAGTCAGTTGCTTAGAGCACAGCTAAGTTAAAAGTTACTTAGAAGTTATAACACAAAGAAACTGTGTAGCAACCGCAATCAGATGCTGACATCTGAAACTAAGTTGCGAAATACATTGCACTTTAAAACAATTAATGACATTTTTATTGTTCGTACAGTACTAACTACTGTTGACAGCAATTGCTATAATTATAAGTCGATGTCCTGCGAAGTATTGATACATCAAAAAAATATTGCCAGAAAAAAAAACTTAATGTTGTTTTCTTTATTATGATTATATAAAAATACACAAACTTTGTTTGTAGTTAATTTAGCGCGAAATCTAGGGCTTTTTTAAAGCGCTGTTTTCATGAAATCTAGCGCTTTTTGTGTTGTCCTAGAGCTGAATGAGTTTTTTTTTATCTGGCAGCACTGCCCAAAAACCCTCTATTAAGAAGTAACTTTCCTTTCAGTTTTAAGCGCGTTCAGTTCCCAGTTACAGTGAGTTTATGTTATGCGATGACCGTAAATAAAGCGCAAGGTCAAACTTTACGCGTTGTAGGAGTGTACCTCAGTACTGACTGTTTTGCACATGGCCAACTCTATGTTGCTTTTTCCCGCGTTAGTAGCCCCCATAACCTTTTTGTGTACACCCCGGCTAAGCCTACTTCTAACGTCGTTTACACAGAAGCTCTATCATAAACGACTTAGAACTTTGATGATAATGATTTATTTAGTTACCACTTATTGATACAGTAATGAAATAAATCGTTTAATATTCTCTTACCTAAACGACAAATTCTTTATGTAAAACCTGTATACGCGAGCTACGCCGCGGGCACAGCTAGTAATTAATAAAATTAAATCCCAACCCAAGTAAACAGCTGCAAGACTTCATGATACTGTAAGTTCATACTGCGTAGATCGGAACAAAAATTAATAATTTTAATCTGGAGGTAGCCGTGGTTAACTTGACATTGGGACATCGTACACCTCAATCTCCCCGTGACCACGGGTGCTAGAAAGCACCCGAAACGTCGGGAATATAAAATAAGTTAATATACGCGATAAAATCCGTAAAATTAGTTTCATTTAAATTAACAGCTGATATTTTTTAAATAATGTCTTACCTAGATTTAAAGTTTTTACATAATTAATTTATAGCTTATATATACGTCGCGACTGCCACAGGCTGATGATCATGATGATAATGATGATGCGAGTTGGCAGACTTTACATCTCATTGATTATGTGTCAGATGTCTCATATTTTTACCCTGCTTCTCGTAACCAGTCTTCGTATTTTTCCTTCTGTGGTGTCTTTTTATTGTATATATATATATATATATGTGCATAAAGAATGTAACTTAATGCTTTATTCTTCTTCTCATTCCCTAGTCGTTAATACGAAACTTTAATAGTACTTCGTCGCCAGGTGGCGCGCCGGTGGGGGGCCCAGAAGAACCGGCCCGCCATGAACTATGACAAGCTGTCGCGCTCGCTCAGGTACTACTACGAGAAGGGCATCATGCAGAAAGTTGCTGGTGAGTCATTTATAATACTGAGAGTTTACCACATGCTCGGCGATGAAGGAAACACCTCACGCACTCTTAGAAATTAGAGGAGACATGTTTCTTTTTATAGGATAAGGGTGACAAACGAGCACACAGTCCACCTGATGGTAAGTGGCCGCTGCGGCCCATAGACATCTACATCTATCCTCTGTTACAAATCAAAATGCAGATGCATGGTCACCCGTGAGGACTGAGATGGAATGCCTCGTTTCCAGTAAAAAAGGTTTCCGATAAAAAGGGTCCTTCCCCGATCGAGCCGACCCATTCATGTTGCAACTATACTACTAATATAGCTGCAGCATGGCTCGACCGGGGTATGATTACGCTGTCACAGAATACCAGCTGAAAACAACAAAATAATGCTGTGTTTTGTATGGTGAGTGTAGAGAACCTAAGAGCCCTGTACTGGTAGCGAGGCGTTCCATCTTAGTCCTCACGGGTGACACCTCGTCTGCATTTTCAGCAGCAGCGTCCACTTACCGTCAGGCGAACTGTGTGCTTGCTTGTCACCAAACAAGGACGAGCAAAATCTCCATTGAAACGAATGGGACTGACAAACTTCACAAATACATTTAATGTTTTTTTATTTTTTATACGTACTGATTTCCAAGTCAAGCACGTAATAAAGTAAAAAGGCCTTTTAAACGTTAATGTTTCTTTCTAGTTATATTTTATATTAATAACATTAAAAATAAAAAAAAACCAAACCACAGATATTCATTAAGGTGAAAGCTCCAGGGTGGCCCGCGAAATTCAAATTTTCTTACGTTTTTTGGACTTTGCAGGTCAGGGTCAGGTTGAATGTTTAACAAAATATGGTTCGCAAGCGTAACGAGTATGTAGGTATTTACAGAATTATTATCATTAAAATCACCAATACAACCCTCTAAGTTCATATAATCCCTTTGAATGAGTTTTTCTGGAAATAGCCATACAATAGGATTATACGAACTTAGGGGGCTGTATTGATGATTTTAATGATTATAATTCTGTAAATACATACTTAGTACGCTCGCGAAACATATTTTATTAAACATACAACCTGCTGTGTGGCTTCCCCGTGGTTGTTCAACCTGTTTATGGACAGTTGTTTGGAAAATTTGAAAGTAGAAGAATGCGGGTTAAGAATGGGTGAGTTAACCGTCAAATGCCTTTTGTACGCCGATGATCAAGTCATACTTGCGTCGTCGGCAGCCGAGTTGCAAATGATGGTTACATTAATGAACAGGACATTAAAAGAAAAGGGAATGAAAGTGAACGCAAGTAAGACGAAAGTTATGGTTTTTGAAAGAGAAGAAAGTAAAACGATATGTGAAATAAGAATAGAAGGGGAGTTGGTAGAGCAAGTAGATGAGTTTGTATATTTGGGATGTGTGTTTAGCAGGGATGGTAGATATGATAAGGATATAGAACGACGAGTGAATGCAGGAAATAGAGTGAATGGGGCTCTACACTCTATTGTGAAAAGTCAGAATGTGTCCAAAAAGGCACGTATGGCAATTCACAATGCTGTGTTAGTACCTACTTTAATGTATGGTAGTGAAAGTTGGGTGTGGCAGAAGAAGCATGAGAGTAGAATAAATGCTGTAGAAATGCGGTCATTAAGGAGTATGTTAGGGATGAAGCTGAATGACAGAGTGAGAAATTGTTTAATAAGAGAAGAGTGTGGTTTGCAAGATGATGTTGTGACCAGGATTAAGAAAGGAATGCTTCGGTGGTTTGGCCATGTAGAAAGAATGAATGAGGAAAGAGTGACAAAGCAAATTTATGTTGCAGAGGTGAACGGCATAGTCGGGAAGGGTCGCCCTAGGCGAAAGTTTATCGACCAAATTGGCGATATATTAAAAATGGGCCAAATCAAGAGTACCTTTAACCGACGAGCGTGTATGCGTAGGTATATGGATGTGGAGGAAGCGAGAGAGGTGTGTCAGGATCGTGCCAAATGGAAGTCCATAATCTCTGCCTACCCCTCTGGGTGACAGGCGTGAGTGTTTATGTAATACAACCTGACACGGACCTACAAATTGCAAAAAAATTAAGAATTTTTGAATATCGCGGGCCACCCTGGAGCTTTCATCTTAAAGGAGAAAAATTAAAAAAAAAACCGTTAAAAATTTGCAATTTTGTGTATAAAATTTCGTAGCACATTTCGAAGTTAGACAAGACCTAAAACCCTAACTAGGCTTTGGCAAAAAAATATCGATATTTCTAAATATCGATATTTATTAATTAAAATATCGATATTTTGATATATCTATATTTATTTTAGAGTATCGAATTCGTATCAATTTCGATATATTTTAAAATGTATTAATGACAAAACATGTAACAACAAAATGAAGTACAAAAGTATCATGTAAATGACGATGTATCGATATATCGATATTTATCACGCGGTATATATTGATACTGATTAAAAATATCGATATATTTTTCCCCTTGCACATCCCTAACTAGAACAGTATCAATGATTGAATCATCTGGAGTTTACTTATTTCAGCCTCGTATATTGGGGGTTGGAGAATGGAGATAAAAGATTAACATAATGAATAATCGGTAATACAGAGATAGATATCGATATGATAGAAAAGAAATATATCCCAAATTAAAAGGATCTACTTGAAAATACAGACAGATCGTAAATTGTTTTGACGAGATGCCTTTATTACGTCTTTCTTTTGCCTGAAGTCCTTGCCAATGCGACAATAAAGTGCATATCCAAATCTAGCGCCTGCCCAAATTGTTACAGCAATTTTTAGTAAATTATAATGTTCATAAAGAACAAGGCGTTTATCTAAATTTCATTATACAATGTATGTATACACTTTAAATCAGCATAGGAGAATCTCATCTACTCTTTTTTTATAGAATTAGGGTGACAAGCGAGCAGACAGTCCACCTGATGGTAAGTGGTTGCTGTGGTCCATAGACATCTATGTCTATCCTCGATTACGAATCAAAATGCTGATGCGTTGTCACCCGTGAGGACTAAGATGGAATGCTTCGTTTCCAGTAAAAAGGGTCTCCGGTTCTCTACACTCACCATACGATACACAGCAGTGTTAAGCTGTCGTTTTACGGTATCTTTTTCTCAGGTTTTACCCTTTGAGCTGCCAAGGCTTCCTTAACGCAAGCTCAGCATGTGTCACATATGATTCCAGGTGAACGCTACGTGTACAAGTTCGTGTGCGACCCCGAAGCGCTGTTCAGCATGGCGCGGCCCCCGCCCCCCACCCCTCCATACGACGTGCTGTCGCAGCTGTGTGGGGGGGCGGTGTACGCCCCCTGCCTGCCCCCCACCAGCCCGCCGCCGGACTACAGACGCTACTACGAAGGACACTACGACACGTGAGCGCGTTACCAGCTCCACATCAAGAAATCTATTTGCGCAAAAGTTTGCCGATGACGTCACAACTTATGACGTCACGTGTCGATGGTTAGTATAGTGTACAAAAATAGATGTTATGAAAATATTGGTTGCAAATGCAATAAATATATAAAGTAAAAATTATTAATCAAAAAACGTAGGAGTTGTTACTAAGTTTTATTTGTATAGGCAAACCTTTTTACTTTTCCTTCTCGACAAACGTAAGAATTTTTAAAATAATAATGCGTTTGCCACCACGAGAGGCTTTCCTTTAACGCACTTTGGTAATAAAGTAACACTAACATAAACCAAAACTTGAATAATTTCAGAGCGAGAGCAATCAATTCAAACACGTTACAAACGTCTTTGTAACGACTGCGTTATTAACGGAACGCAGGGTTGCCAACTTTATTTTTTAGGAAATCGAACCATAAACTGGAAAAGATCATATTTAAATTAATTTTTTTTAAAACTCAATAAAAGATAGTAGATATCAATATTTGGATTAGAACGAATAGAATAACGTAAAACAAACTTGAAGAAAAGAGGTTAAACTGCGCGGGGAATCCCCTCATCGGCGGCGAGTTGACGGTATAGTATTGTTACGAGCTTGGGGTTCGAGACAATTAAAAACTGCCGATTGAATTACTAAAATTGACACTTTAATTACACAACGCTAATTACAATCTAAAACCACACTAATAATAAAACACAGTTGTACCAATTGTATCGTTTCGAAGTATTCGCTTGTATCGCCAATTCAATACTGTTTCGGTCGTGGTCTATACCGGCCTTATATAGGGCCTCAGATAGTTTCCAGAACCTTCTACTGTAGTGACATTTAGAATGTTCGAGTACATATCGGTCCGGAAATTTCTGGAAGGATCTCGACTCTCCTAGTTCTGCTACTCGACACTAGAGGGCGCTAGTGTAACTAGTGTTGCCATGTACAAGACATTAATAGTGGCGCGCAACAGTATAATACCACTAAAGAGAGTATAGTAACTGTCCTATACAGGAATACCACAAACTAATAAGAAATGCTAGTACGCTCCGTATTTCTAAAATGCAAGTAGCATAGAGAGTTTAAAAATTATTGAATTGGATGCGTTCATAAAAAATATAAAAATGAAGTTTAGAGCTTGTTCAGTTTTGATATTATTGATTTTTCATATCGACTAAATGAACTTAATTAATTATTATTTTTATTTTGTTACAAATATGAAAAGATCGTATATTTTGCGTACGATTTCGAACACATGAGCGTACATCGTGTTAGGGCCAAAAAGATCGTGAACACGGTTTAAATCGTTCGGTTGGCAACACTGTCGGGGCGCGGCGGCCGCAGGCGGGAAGGCCGCTCATCGGCAAACTGAACGCGCGCAATTAATACTAATAAAATTATTAGATCTTATGTAAAGCCACGTCTCCGCCAAAGTTTTGTTACCAACTGTTGTGTTGCCAACAAAACTTGAAACAACAATAAACTCGGGAACCGTGTTTCCATTTTCGGCGGCAACATTAAAGGTATACGCTTGTTGCAAACATTTGTTCCCTCGGTGGAGACGGAACGGAAACAGTTGGAAACGTGACTGTTGTCAACATTTTTGGCGGATACGCGGCTTGACATGTAAAAACATTGTCACATTGTTTGCTAACAAAGTGAGAGGTGGACTTTTTTCTGCCACCAGGGCGGCGCCACTAGAATAAACAAATATTTGACAAATTTCATATCGGAGGAAGTTGATTTGTTAGAGGAATGTAGAGGTTAAGGTTTCTTTCTGAAATATTTGTTATATTTTTTAAACTAGCGATCCGCCCCGACTTCGCCTGGATATTATCTATTAATAAGGCATTATTTGATTTAAGATATTTTAACGAAGACCATTACTCTACTCTCGATATGTAGCCATATCTATACAAATAAATAAAATTGATATGTCTGTTTGTAATGTCGAAATAACAGCTTTTTACTATATGCATATAAAAGTATATACGGTATTTATAACAAAAACACGATTATTAAAATTTTTATCTGTCTTTCTTTCTGTCTGTCTGTTTGTTCCAGCTAATCTCCGAAACGGCTGAACCAATTTTGACCGAACTTTCACTGGCAGATAGCTGATGTTATAAGAAGTAACTTAGGCTACTTTTATTTTAGAAAAAGAATTAGAATACTGCGCAAAAAATTAAAACCCATGAAATCCAATCGTAATAAATTACGCGCGGGCAACGTTGCGGGGAACAGCTAATAAGTACAAAAAACCGTTCTTATACTTTTAGCTAGACATCAAATTCGTATTTGTTATATATAATTATAAGATTAGTTTATTTTCCAATTGATTCAGTTTAAATTACATAACAAGAAATGCAATTGGCACAATATATAGACTGGCGTCCGTTGGTCTGTGCGTCGGTGAGTCTTCTCGTTTAATACAAATGTAAGCAATACATTGAGATATATAGTATTGAATAAGATTCCATACATTCTAAGAAGGATGCCTGTTGATGTTTGTTATTGAACTCAACACCGTTCAAAAGTAATTAATGAAAGTGAATCAGGTTTTTTCTCTTGTAAAAATTATCGTCACTATTATTAAATGGCGAAGCTTGCGAAGTCACTTATTGGTTTCACGATGTCTGTCCGTCTGTCCGTCTGTCCCACGATTATCTCGAGAACGGTTTCGAATTTTCAAATTGTGTTTTCAGCGATCGATTACTGATCACCCAGGCATCTGAACCTCCTATTTTGAAACTGATTGCTCAACGGCAACCGTTAGAAACCGCTACAAAGCTGATTGCTTCGCCACTTTGCTATGCTGTTAGCTTGCTAGGTTTATTTATTACTAGCTGTGCCCGCGGCGTAGCTCGCGTATACAGGTTTTACATAAAGAATTTGTCGTTTAGGTAAGAGAATATTAAACGATTTATTTCATTACTGTATCAATAAGTGGTAACTAAATAAATCATTATCATCAAAGTTCTAAGTCGTTTATGATAGAGCTTCTGTGTAAACGACGTTAGAAGTAGGCTTGGCCGGGGTGTACACAAAAAGGTTACGGGGGCTACTAACGCGGGAAAAAGCAACATAGAGTTGGCCATGTGCAAAACAGTCAGTACTGAGGTACACTCCTACAACGCGTAAAGTTTGACCTTGCGCTTTATTTACGGTCATCGCATAACACACGCTCACTGTAACTGGGAACTGAACGCGCTTAAAACTGAAAGGAAAGTTACTTCTTAATAGAGGGTTTTTGGGCAGTGCTGCCAGATAAAAAAAAAACTAATTCAGCTCTAGGACAACACAAAAAGCGCTAGATTTCATGAAAACAGCGCTTTAAAAAAGCCCTAGATTTCGCGCTAAATTAACTACAAACAAAGTTTGTGTATTTTTATATAATCATAATAAAGAAAACAACATTAAGTTTTTTTTCTGGCAATATTTTTTTGATGTATCAATACTTCGCAGGACATCGACTTATAATTATGGCAATTGCTGTCAACAGTAGTTAGTACTGTACGAACAATAAAAATGTCATTAATTGTTTTAAAGTGCAATGTATTTCGCAACTTAGTTTCAGATGTCAGCATCTGATTGCGGTTGCTACAGAGTTTCTTTGTGTTATAACTTCTAAGTAACTTTTAACTTAGCTGTGCTCTAAGCAACTGACTGAAACTGAATAAAGCAAAATAAATGCGTTGCCAAAACCATGAACAAAAACTTTAATAAAGGGGATTTCCCCGCTTATAGTCGTCGGTAAAAAAATCAAGTTGATCATCCTAAAGGGGAAGCCAGGAGATCCATAGCACAGGGTATCCTAGTTTGGACTCGTCTCCCATGCTCTTTGTTTTGTGGAAAAAATATGTTTGAAAAAGATAAACTGCAATGTACTATTTGTGGGAAAAAATAATAAAGGTCATTATTATTATTATCGGTAATGTGGACTAACAGTGCTGCTATAAAAGAGTAACCCGCTAGTCGCTAAAATATTGAAATGTGTGCTAAATACACCAAAAAGCGCCGGATTAAGCGCTAGGTGCTAAAATTTCGAAATGCGCGCTATACATTCCAAAAAAGTGCTAAATCTAGTTCCCAAAGCGCTAAAATGGCAGTTTTGATTTTGCGTATATTATAAATACAATATCACGACATTTCGTTGCGAAATTTTTATTTTTGGTCGGGTTCCGTTGTATGGCTTCGATGGATACAAATTTCTTCAGTAAGTCTCAATAGAAAGAAAGAAAGGTTTATTCTCCAAAATGACGCCATCACAGATAACATAAAAAAGAAACACATAATTTACAAATAATATTGGCTATACAATACAAATTACAATATACTACATATTACAAACTATACAATACCAATACTCATATGTGTCAAGGCGTCATCTACGATACGATACATCGGCGAAAAATCTCAACACAGCAATCCAGAAAAGTTTGTAATTTGTACAACTCCATCTATTACGTCCTTTGTGTGAGAAAACATCCTATCTCTTTTTGTGTTTAAGTATAAATATATTAATTATTATGGAACGTTTTTTTTACACAGAAATCTTTTTATTACTATTTCAGAGATTTTATGGCGCCATTGAACAAATTCGAACCTACATTTCAAAATAATAATCATTACTTTCGATAGAATTAACCAATTTTAATAAAACATTGCATTGCATTTTCACGACACCACCATCTATCGAAGAAATGGGTTAACTATTGTGCTTCAGATTTAGTTAATAACGTTAATATATTTTTGTATAATATATTTAATACGTTCTTTATTACTTTTGTTTACTGCGTTTTAGATATACATAATTATATCATTATTTTACATAATTTAACTATGATTTATGATATGATATTAGTTTAAAATGCACTTGATGACTCAAACAAAGCCACCGTTGAGCAATTCGTACCTATACTTCCCTACCCATACTTCAGAATATTTATCATAACTTTTGATGGAATGAACTGATTTTAAT